GAAGAATTGAGGCAGTTCTGAAGGCAAAAGGGGGTCCAACCCGTTACTAGCGTGGTGTACCTAATAAAGTGGCCGGTGAGTGTATATATATGATGTATGTATGATGATGTAAAGAAGACTTGGACTTAAGTTGCATGATGTTCCATTAACAACCAGCTTCTGCTGCACGTCCTCCACAGCTCTGCAGCAGAACACGTCCACTCAAGTGTGTCTCCCTAAATATGTTTCCCCACCAAAGGGTGCACCACAAAGGCTGAAAATCCAGAATTCAGTAGTGGTGTCTCGTTATAGGATGATTAGATTTTTTTTAATGCTATTTAAGCTCAAAAAATGATGTTTTATACATGAACAAATACAGTAGTTTGAACTCTGGCTCTTCCTCATCTCTATGTTAATGACTCAAAATAATCTAAAGAAGYATAACATTCTGCTCTACAGTCTGTATTGTTAGCCACTGTATCAACGCTCTGTTTACATGCAGACGTTCCCCTTTGACATCACTTCCTGTTGCTTTACATGCAAATATCTCAACAACTGTTCATCTCAGCGCAGTGAATTTTATTTTGCWAAATGTTATCAGTGTTATCTCTACAAAAAACTTGATGTGACAGGCATTTTAAATAATTAAACAGGAATTTACATTCAGAAGTCACAAAAAACAATTAGCCTGCTTTTATCCAAGGGTAAAACAAGTTTATTGGGCTCATTAAATACTGTAGTGTGTTTTATTCTTTGCTGGTTTGGCTGCAGTGGATCAGTGGTCTTGTAACCCTGAGATTTGAGTCCAGATTGCATCAGGAAGGACAAGCAGAGTAAAAACAAATGTAAAAGACTTTCACATGCATAACTATGGCTAGTACCCCTTGAGAAGGGAGCAGGTGAAAGAAAAACACCATTTGYTTATTTGTCACAAGCAAAAAGTCAGTTTCCACCCCATATAAGATGTTTACACAAAAAGACAAAAATGATATAAGACATTAAAGGTTTWGCATTCCTTGAAGAAATGCATATTGCTCCCTTTCATGTCAGAGTTTCAAACTGAAATAATCTCGTACCGAAAAGAGGCAGAGTTATAGCCTACATGTTTGGTCAAACCTCATAAATGGCTTYATGCACCAACTCAATGTGTGTAAGTGCTCATGAGCGTATAGAGAGGACTATGAGCTACTTCCACACAACTTTTAGCCTCAACATCTGTAAAACTGAATTAAAACTATTATGTCTGTATTAATGTCAGTTTGCTGTGGCGGCCRTCTTACATTGGAGTTAATGAGTTGTAGATGTCCATACTTTCTGAAAGTTTAAATAAAATCWGTTTATGAGTGAGATATTTTGAGAGTATATTTTGAGAGCGTTACCACCAACGCTTAAAAAAATACTGCACCATGTGCTTGATGTACTGTGTGTTTTAAGGATGGTGCTCAGGTACTACCACACCAAATTGGGTGAGTCATCTTTTGGKGATTGCGAAAATCCCTCCAGTCCATGAGATGTTTTGTTGACATTTGGAGTCTACTGCAATAGTTAATGACATAATTATAAGAATAGATTTTGCACTATCAGTTAGCACCTTAAGTWTTTGTTGSGGATGAMTCTCAGCTACTACCRCACCAAATTTGAAGTCCATATCTGTAAAATTAGCTGACTTGTGGCCATTTTGTGTTTACTAAGGTCGCTTAGCTGTGGTGGCCATCTTGAATTGCTTCTGAAAGTTTATCAGCTGTAAATTCAATGATAACTTTCCTAGAGTTTCTTATAAATCAGTCTAGTGGTTAATGAGATATTTTGCTAACAAACAAAAACACCATCGTTCCACCTTCACATTCAGATTTTGATTAAACCAAAAAAATCCCAGCAGCTGCCACACATGGCATGAAAATACAAAAGTCATAACATTTAAACAATTCAGAAATGAAATTTAAAACGTTGTGCAAATTGCATCAGGACCAAACAGATGCAAACTGTTTTAGCTGCAGTTTGGAGTGACAGGTGGGAGGGGTTGTTACCACGCTGCTACAATGGATAATTAGCGGCTTGTCAATCAGACAACGAAGCCTCAATAGGCTGAGCCTGGATGATTGATGGAAAATAAAWGTAAAAAGTACTTTCAGTTAATATTTTACTAAGCCTGAGTAGATTTAAATGCTTGTAGTAGGATTTTTCTGAAGGTGGCACAACGGAATCCCACGGAACCACGATTTTAAAATCTGACAGTGAGGAATTTGATCAGTTTGAGCAATTTAGGAAAGTAAGTGTGTCTGAAAAAAAGGTGGAGTCAGCCACTCATTATTGCCCAAAGGCAGTAAGGTTCTTGCTTGTATGTGTGTGTTTGCACAGATTTTAGAGAAAAGAATCAGACAGTAATTAATGAATGTACTTCTACTATTGATTAAGTTTTACAACCAGTCTGATTCTACGGCTAAAACATGGTCAGTTTTACAGTTGTTGAGCTAAAGTTTATGTGGAAGTAGCTGAAAGTCATCCTCAACACAAACGTTGAGCACCAACACATTAAGCAAGATTTTAAAATATTGCATGAGATTGCACAGAACATTGTTGTCAATGTTTGASTTCATTTCCCAACACAAAAAGATCTTAGAGAAGTCTGGCAAAAATAAAGGTGGTGGGTGATAATAATTGCCTCAAGGACTGATAGACTTTTAATATTTGTGCTGTTTTTGTGTCAGCTGTGTTCAGCTCAGGGGCCTACAGTTCACACAGTTTGAACTTGTTCTGGTCTCCAAGTGAGACGTTGTCTAGAATTTCCTCACACAGTTTTTCCTCCAAACAGGTTTCTTTTCTCTTTCTTGTTCTTTGCTCATGATTTGACTCAAAGGTCATTGTTGTGTTTTTGTTTGTTTTGGTGTCATCTTTATTAAATAGTAGTTTTATTGTTCCACGGTGCTGTCTGTGTTCACGGACCACACGGCAGAGCTTTGCAGATTTATGGCAGCATTTRTATCAAACAGATGTTGTGGTTCAAGCAGACCAGGGCGCAGGAAGTTCACTTTAGACCAGGGGTCTGCAACCTGTAGCTCTGTGTCCTCGTAGATCCTTCTGCAGCTGCACACTGAAGCTTCCCCAAAACCAACAAAACAATGAAGCAAATTTTAATTTCTAACCACAATAGAAAAACAACACAAGTGATGTCAACACCAAGA